GCTGAGGGTGCACGGGGGGTGTTTCAGGATGGAGATTGGGAAAGGACTGGTACATATGTTATATTTACTGGGCCCTCCCTATCGTGAATGAACACAGTGAGCGATCGGTACCGATCACTCACTTTGTTCATTCATAATTGAAGCATAGCAAATGCTGTTTAGTATGCTTCCATTTGTGAATAAACAGGAAGCCGCTCAGCACAGAGCACTTCCCATTCATTCACTATCCAGTGCAGCTAAGGCTGCAGAGAAAGATACTAGGGAATATCGGTTCTAACTTTCTTTCTCTATCTCAAAAGTGAGACATCATAGGTCTGTTTAGACCTTCCTGATATTTTACCATGCCCCCTCCCAACAGGGCAGTTAAAAATGTAAATAAATAATAAATGTAATAAATGATAATGTAAAAAAACCATAAATAATAATTAAAAAATGGACTCGTTCAAATGTGCTTTGCTCTCTATGATTTCTGCTATGGCTGAGAAGCATAACATCATGGCTGTGGCATGTATACACCCTTAGTCACTGTCTCTGTTGCTAAAGGGGGTATCGGTTGTTGATGGACAGTAAAATCGCAGCTCTACCATGGGCTTTTTCCACCCCTCCCAACCACATGTGTTAATGCGCCCTAAGTACTCATTCACCCTGGTACTCTGGTTGTTTAAATGAGTGGATTGTTCATGCAGCTGGAGCCATCTGTTACTCTAAGGGGACATATCGGTTATATAAACACAGTGTAACACCCTGCTAAAATGCAAGTTGCAAGATGTTAGAAGAAACACAAGGTGGCAGTGTCTTGCAATCTGGTGGTGCTCACACTCTGTGGGGCAGCCCCATGGACATTGTTCCCACCTTGTTCTGCAAAAAAAAAAGGATATTGCAGTTTCAACTATAGCAGTTACCTTTTTAAAGAGAAGTATGGCCAAAGCTTTTTTGGCCATGCTTTTTTTCTGCATTACATGGGTATTTTTGCACTCCTGTGACCTAGAGTCAGCTTTTAGTGGGCTATAGAGCTCTAGCAGCAGATGTCACAGAGTCGCTCCTGTCTCTGCAAGGATCCCAACTATATTGCCTGGATCTAGCCAGTTGCCTGTTTGTCAGCTGGCTCTGGCTCTCAGTGAGTGGCTAAGAGCTGAAGCCAGCTGTACCCACCCCCTCCCTTATTGAAAAAGACAATGAAACCCATTGGGAGTGGAGCAACAGTCTGGGGTGGAAGAGGGATTTGTGATACAGTGCTGTGTTACTTTAACTGACAATTGTGCGGTCATGCAAAGCTGTACCCAAATAAAATTCATGTAATTTTTTTCCCACAAATAGAGCTTTCTTTTATCCCCTTCCTGTCCAGGCCAATTTTCAGCTATCAGTGCTATCACACTTTGAATGACAATTGCGCGGTCATGCAACACTGAACCCATATGAATTTTTTAGCATTTTTTTGAGACAGATAAAGCTTTATTTTGGTGGTATTTATTCACCACTGGGATTTTTTTTTGTTTTTCTTATAAAAGTTTGCCAATAAATAAGATTTCATCATAAATCTTGGCCAAAATGTTTTCCATTATATTTTTAATTAAAAAAAACCCAAATTAGTTTATAACCAAAAATTATAATTTTTAAACATTTTGTTTTACATTTTTTTTATATTATTATTATTTTTTTTTACATACTGTCACCCTAGCAGTACAGTCACCATGGTAACACTGTACTACTTGTGGGGGGTTATGAAGATTTTTTTTTTTTTTTTACACTGATTGCTTTTACACCAATAAAGGATGTAAAAGCAATCATTTCTCCTCTCTAGCTGCATTCTTGCAGCCATTGAAAACTACTGAGTGAGCTGTGATTGGTCATAGCTTGTCACATGGTACAAGGCTGTTGTGAATAGCCTTGTACCATGTGACCTCTGTGATCATTCACAGATTTCACACGTAGTAAGCAATGATGTCACAAGTGACATCTTGCTTACTACTCTGCATGTGATCACTGATTGGCCAATCAGTGATCACATGATCGGGACCTCGTACAGAGGTCACGTCCAATAATCGGTGTTCTGCTGTATCCGGAGGATCGCGGTGCTGTGCACTCCAAGGGAGCGCGCACATGCAGGGTGTGGGGAGGCCATTCATAAATGGCCACCTGACCCTGAACTGCCACCGTCTGGCCGTTTATATACAATGGCCGAACGGGAGGTGGTTAAACGTACATAATAAAGGTGCTAAATCACACCAGACATAATGCGCATGAAAATCCAGCAATGTTCATCTACAGACAATCAAAAATAGGCTCCACTCATCTGAAATGACACTATGAACGGATTGGTGTATCAAGAGCGTCGTGCCATCATCAAGCCCCTCCCCTACGCATTACGCATAGGATCATGTGGCTTTCTCAGGGAGATATATATGAACATTGCTGGATTTTCATCCGCATTATATCTGGTGTGATTTAGCACCTTTATTATATGAGTGGCCAGTTTTTGTGAGTTTTCAAAAAAGGATAAAGCATTATTGTGTTTTATATTTTTTCACCATGTATGCTGAGTGGAAGAGGAGAGACTAAGGAGAGTGGTGATTTATGGAGGAAGATTCCATTACCAGGATACATCGGTTGTTGTATGTTCACTTCAAGGGACGCATATTTTTTTAACCTAACTTTACGTGTTCAAAAATTGCAGGTGAGGGCACATCTGATGTTTATTTTTGGTGGAGGATTAAATGACATGAAGAGATGAAATATGAAACACATTCAAGTTGAAGAAATCACTATTTGAGACTTTTTGATTTTCTGTTTTATATTCATTATTTTGTATTGATTTATGTTCACATCATAGTTTGGTTTTATTAATAAGTGAGCTTAGAAGTGCTGCACTGTATGTTTATAATTTGTGTTCTTGCACATGTTCTGAGTATGTGGTAATGTCAGTCGCTTCTTGTATTGACATTTATAGTTATATACTGCTCGTGAGAGAATGTTTATTACAGTTGTGCACTTTCTTTTAGTGGTATTTGATCAAGTCTGCTGTTTTTACTTTTTGCTCCATAAAAAAATAAAAGACTAACAAATTTCATCATAAATTTAGGCTAAAATGTATTCTGCTACATATTTTTGGTAAAAAATCCTAATAATTGTATATTGATTAGTTTACATAAAAGTTGGAAATGTATTTATTTATTTTTTTATACTAGTAATGGCGGGGATCAGTGACTTATAGCAGGATTGCAATATTGCGGTGGACATTTTTACACTAACTGACACTTTTTAGGAACCAGTGACACTAATACAGTGAGCAACTGCTCATTAGGGCTTGAAGATCAGTTTGTGCTGTTACATTTCACAGCAGATGGGATCGTCCGGTGGCACATGTGCAGAAGTGCAAAATCATGTATATATAGTGAAACTGATATATATATATATATATATATATATATATATATATATACAGTGAAACTGCTATAGGGTGGATATTAAGTGGTTAATAAAAATGTGTTGGAAGATTTTATAATATATGTGTCTTTCTTTCCTGGTGGGCTTGCTTTCGAAGATTTACTGACACTCTGAGTAAAATGAGCAGAGATGGGAGAGCTGTGAGCTGGGTGGAGCCAGATGGAGCTGAAACTTTAGTATTTTTCTTTCTTAAAAATTAAGGTTCTGGGATCCAGTGAATGCAGAGTGGTTCTCTTCAAGTGGCTCGTGCCACATCCTTTGATTAAGTCAATTGGACGAAATATGTCAGGAAGTGAAATCAGACTGGGAAGTGCCCATTCCGCCATATTGGAAATAGGAAGTTTGTACATACAGTATCTGCCAATGTCAGAAATTCTGGTACAGTATAAATAAATTATTTTTAGTGGGATTTTCTGCACTATTTGGCTTTTCTTCTTCCTACATGTCCATATGCTACTGACCATGGGGAAATGATCTGCCTGGAATACTGGATATTTTGCGCAAACCCACCTAACCTGGTATCTTAGGGGGCAAGTCTTGTAAGGTGTTTTGTGCATGAGGGAAGGATCACTTTGATGAGCGGGAGAAAGAGAGTCAGTTCTGTACAAATTTGAGCACTAATTAATGTGAGCACAAACATATAATTAAATATAGGTGTAAGCACATTACAAAATGTTGTTTTGTTTTTGTTTTGTATAAAAATATGTTCGAGGAGGTTGGCAAGATTTAGAGGAGCATCTTTGGAGCACCATGCTGTTGTGGATTGATGTGTGATTGGAAATTTGTGTTTTTGGTAAGGATACACACAACAGGGGAACAGAGAATGTACACAGGCATGCGGTGTTAAATGGCATGTTATCACATTCACATGTGAGCATATTTTGAGAGAATATTTTCTGTGTAATTTGAAGGCGATACACTATATGAATTTTTTCTTTTTGGAAACGTGTGTGAAGGATGCATAATAGAACAACTAGAGAAGTCACACAGACTTTTTGGAGTATAAAAGTTGACTCATTTTTTTTACCTCCCTGGTGGTATGATTATTTTAGATTTTTGGTGCTGAAAGCGGTACATTTTTTTGCATGGAAATTTGGTGTTTTATATTGTAGGCCTGTAATTCTTAGGAATAACTCATTGAAATCTGTCTGAACAAGAGTCTAGTAAACATCCCGCGTATGATAAAACTTGAAACACGAAATCATAAATTATAATTTCATAAATAATCATAAAAAAATAATAATATAATAATAATAAATTTAATTCAATAATATAATCAAACCAAAAACACTAAAATTTGAAATATAGCGCCAAGTTCGCACATCACTGAGCAAAGTCGCAAAATTGTTTTCAGTGTCTGATGACGAATTTCCCCACGAATCATTATCACTCAATTCTGCAAGTGGTTCTGATTTACTATTGCTGTTTTCTAGCTGGACTAAAACCGCTTTTGACCTAAAGGGACGCTTTTTGGACGCCATGAAGGTTTCTCAGTTTCCAGGCAATAAGAACAGTAAAAATGCAGGCAGGGCACAGGACAAAGCACTAGGAACAAAATGTATGTGAAATGGTTTGATACAGTAATGTTATCCTGTGTGATTTTAGTGATTTTAGTGAATGTCACTTTTTGTCATTTTCAAATTTCCCACCAGTTCCGTCCCCTGTACGTCCCGACGCTCGCAGGGGACGGAACCCAGATGACAGATGCCAGTATCCGGTGGAGGACATTGCCAGGGACACTGCAGGAGGGACATCGCAGGAGCGCAGGACAAGGTAAGTGATCGAGGGATCCCGGAGCAGCGCCGCATAGTAAGCCCAACTGTAGCTCGGGGTTACCACTTGTGGTACTGAAACTTTACCCCCAGCTACACTCGGGAATACCGCCAAGAAGGCTATTATGGGTTGATGAATCTGGTAAGAGTCTGGGATATTGAACATACACAGCCCTGTTGAATAGAGAAGTGTTTACTATAATTGCGTGTGCTCATGAAATATCTAAAATGAAAATGGCTATCTGATATAAAAGGGAACAACACTGTAATTGAGTCAACACTATAACTATATTAATTATTTGGTTTATCAGACAAGGGAAAGTCACAGACAGTAATTTTTGCACAAGTATTTTTACGTTTGACACATCTACTATCACTTTCACATTGTCTTCTCTGCTCCTTCATCGGTAAATGCTGCTGCTTGAATATCCATCTCCATGTTATATATGATTGAAAACTTGCACTGTGCTAATCATTGTTTCACAGTAAATGCTGCTGCTTGAATATCAATGTTCAACCATCTTAATGCTGTGTATGATTGAAAACTAACGCAGTGTTAATCATTACTTCATGGTAAATGTTGCTGCTTGAATAAAAATTCGTAAGGGCCAGTTTCATAGTGTTTTTTTTTCTGCATCCAAAATGCTCAGAAAGTAGATTATATGGTTGTCAATGTTAGAAAAAAAAAGCAGACTGCATTTTTCCTGCACAGAACTGCACTGGAACGCAATAAAATGCATAAAAAATGCACCGGAACGCACTGAAATGCACCAAAACGCAGCAAAAATGCACTGGAATGCACATGTCCCTATTTAAATTGAAGAAAAAGAGAGGGAAAAAATTAACTGGACACATAAAAAATGAACTGGAACGTGCCAAAAATGCATCAAAATTATGCATGCAGAAACGCATCCGTAAAGCATCTGGACTGCGTTTCTATAGTGTGAACCCTAAAAGAGAAGTATGGTCATAGATCTGCTTACCACCTGTCTGCTTGACCTTGTTCTCTTGCTACTGCTACATTCACCCTCTTGCTCTATTCTATGCTCTCTCACTCACATCTTCAATCTTTCCCACTCTACTGGCACCTTCGCCTTCCGTCTAAAGCATTCTCTAATCAGTCCCATATTTAGAAAGTTCTCACTGGACCTAGGGTTGCCGCCTCACCCCTTTAAAACCAAACACATATTAATTACACAGGTTCTGAGGCTAATTTATTGCAGATAATGCACAAAGTGAATTTAATTACCACCTTAATAAGCCACAGAACCCGTATAATTAATAAGTGTTCAGTTTTAAAGGGGTGAGGCCAGGGACAGACTGACAACTCTTGGGGCCCCCAGGCAATAGGGGATCATGGGGCCCCTGTGTCCTTGCCCAAACTCAAAAAAGCCTATGAAAAAGGTACCCTACTGACCCCGGGCCCTCAGGCAGTGCCCAAGTTTCCAAATGGTCAGTCCGCCCCTGGGTGAGGCGGCAACCCTAACTGGATCCCACAAACCTGTACAACTTAAGACTCATATCTTTGCTCTCATTTACCTCTTAAAGGCAAAGTTCACCTTTTTCCCCTTGAAATCCAGCTCCCCTATGTACAAATATACCAGTAATGTATCACGATTGGAGAAAAATAAAAACCAGTAAGACGCAGAAAGGAGTTTATCAGCTGACCTCATTAGCACACACTTCCTGCACTGACCTCATTAAAACACACACCCTTCACTCATCAACTATTTTTTCACAGCATCCTGGGCATCTCTCTATGCGTGCAGTTGCCTGGCTTCCCCAGTATCCCTCCAGACGAGCTCAAGCCACATGTTAAACTTCCTGGGGTTACATGCAGCCCGTGGACCCCCCTGATGTAGTACAAGGGCCTGGATGATTGGATTCAGTAATTGGATATATGGTGTGTCCACCTATTATATAGTTTTGGCAAATCTAAATGAGATTGTACCATCAGATTGTATAGTGCATAGTGTATAGCCACATTTATACACCTAAAATTACCTAGTTGCGCTTTTAGTGTCATTAATTGTTAACGGCCCACCAAACACAGAAACAAACACAGATTTTGCCACATGAAAAATAGGTGCCAAACATAGAAAAACACACAGTAAAAAACTCGCAACTCACACCACGCCAAGTGAAAATGCTCCAAAACACCCAAAGCAAATGCATGCGGGAATGTGAGTTTTAACTAGGTGGAGATGTGAACGGGCATGACAACTGAGTGTCTCCGTCTACTACCTCCTATGTACTTGTATAAAGATGGCCATACACTATGCAATCTGCTTGCACAATCTCTGTACAATTTCTTTTAGATTTACTAGAACTATGGAATAGGAGGACACATCTGCACAATCTGTTCAATTTGTATCAAATAAGACAGGCCCTTGTATTGAATAGCTGATGGTACTTCTAAAGAAGATTTTACAATGAGATTGTATAGAAAGTGGGTGGAAGGTAGTATTGTAACGAGGGGAGGTGTGATCCAGTGTGGTGAACACACCTTATCACACCCTCTTCTGTGATGCAACAAGAAAGTGAAGGCTTCTGGGAGATGGCCTACAGGAAGTGAATGCTGATAAATGAATTACAGGAAGTGATGCAAACTTAAAATAATTTAAAAAATTCAAATAAAATGACAAGATTTTAAACCTCCTGTGGATAATGTAAGTGAGAGTAAGCACATTGGGGTGGCTGGGCCAGAAAAGGCATTTTAATATGCTTTTATTTATCCACTCAGTACCTCACTCACCGCCCACGAGATTGCCAATCATTTCCAAAACAAGATTGACGCAATCCGTAAGGACATTGTCAACACCACCTTGCCCCCCCCCTATCACCCCCTCAACTCTCCCCTCCTCTGACCTCATACCCGCACTGCCCCCCACCATACCTAACACCCGCACACTATCACCTCCCCATCGCTCTGCTCCTTCTGCCCAGCTACCACTGAGGAGGTCACTAAGGTCTTCACTGAAGCCCGCCTCACCACTTGCCCCCTGGACCCTATCCCCTCACAGCTCCTCCATTCACCTCCCTCCTCCATCATTCGCTCCCTCACCCACATCTTCAATCTCTCCCTCTCCACTGGCACATTCCACTCCCCCCTAAAGCACACACACATCACCCCTATACTCAAAAAACCCTCCCTTGACCCCACTGACCCAAACAACCTAAGACCCATCTCCCTGCTACCATTCACTTGCAAGCTCCTTGAGCGCTTGGCCTACAATCGCCTAAGCGCCCACCTCACTGATAACAACCTCCTTGATCCACTACAGTCAGGCTTCCGTCCCCTACACTCCACCGAAACCGCCCTACTTAAAATCACTAACGACCTGCTAACCGCCAAAGCTAATGGTCATTACTCAGTCCTCCTGCTCCTCGACCTCTCCGCGGCCTTCGACACAGTCGACCTCCCCATCCTCCTTACAAAACTGCACTCCCTTGGCATCAGGGATGCTGCTCTCTCCTGGTTCTCCTCCTACCTATCCCAACGCTCCTTCAGTGTCACCTATAACACTGCCACCTCTTCCCTCTCTCCCCCTCTCTGTTGGAGTCCCCCAAGGCTCTGTCCTCGGACCCCTCCTCTTCTCCATCTACACCTCCTCCCTTGGCAAACTGATACACTCCCACGGTTTCAACTATCACCTCTATGCCGACGACACACAAATTTACCCCTCTACCCCCCACCTCACCCCCTCACTCTCCGCCCGCATCGTCCACCTCCTGAACGACATATCAGACTGGATGTCGCTCCATTTCCTCAAGTTAAACCTGTCCAAAACCGAGCTCCTGGTTTTCCCCCCAGCCCGCCCCCCCATCCTCTCCATCGCTACTAGCAATGCCACCATCATTCCCACCCCACACGCCAAAGTCCTGGGTGTCACCCTGGACTCAAACCTTTCCTTCCAACCTCATGTCCAATCACTATCAAGGTCATGCAGGCTCCACCTTCGCAACATCTCCAAGATACGTACATTCCTCACCCCAGAAACTACTAAATAACTCGTACACTCCCTCATCATATCACGCCTGGACTACTGCAACTCCCTTCTCACTGGCCTACCCAAACAAACGCTATCCCCACTCCAGTCTATCCTGAACTCAGCGGCTAGACTCATCCACCTCACCAACCGCTCCACATCTGCCACCCCCCTCTGCCAATCCCTTCACTGGCTCCCGATTGCCCAGCGCATCAAATTCAATGTACTAACTCTGACCTACAAAGCCATTCACAACGCTGCCACAAACTACCTAACTGACCTGATACCCAAATACCACCCTGCCCGTGCCCTTTGCTCCTCACAGGACCTCCTACTCTCTAGCTCCCTGGTCTCCTCCTCCCACGCCCAACTGCAGTACTTCTCCAGGACTTCCCCCATCCTCTGGAACTCCCTATCCCAATCCATCAGACTGTCATCTACCCTCCTCACCTTCAGACGCACCCTGAAAACCCATCTCTTCAGGAAAGCCTACCCCACCATTACCTAACAACCGATTTCCTCCACTTCTTCCACCACTCCATCCCCCACAGCCACGTCCTCCTGAACTACTTCCCCTTCCTTCTAGATTGTAAGCTTGAAAGAGCAGGGCCCTCGAACCCCTCGTGTATTGTATTGTTACTGTTTTGTCTCATGTTCTGTCCCCCTTGCTATTGTACAGCGTTGAGCAAACCCTTTGGCGCTATATAAATACTGTATAATAATAATAATTATGAAAAGTAAAATTCTGCACAAAAAGGTGAGCCTATCCTTTAACTTCTAGAATGCTTACTCTACAATTGTTTGAATTCCTTCCTCAGTGACAGCTTTCTTCTTGACCCCACAGTTTGTCATTCACTCGCAGCTCCTCAAAAACTGCCCTTCTATAACTCCCTATCAATTTATACCTCTTAAGGCCAATGGCCATTATTTCCTACTCATACTACTAGACATTTCTTCTGCCTTTGACACTGTTGGCCACCTGCTTCTCTTTAAACTCCACTCTCTTGGCATCTAAGACTCTGTTCTTTCCTGGTTCCTCCCAGCTATCATAGTGGTCCTTCAGTGTTGCCTACAAATCTGTCCTCTTCTCTTCATTTACTCATTCTGTAGAGGTCCACCAAGGTTCTGTCATTG